GGGCAGAACGAAGGGGTAGGGGCTGAAAAGGAAGAACAATGTTTTTTATTTATTTATTTATTTATTAATTTTTATTTTTTTAATAAAGAAAAATCATTAGCTCACGCACCTAATGTGCGTGTAAATCACTTATTTTGTCCACCTCAGCCATATCAATGCCACATAAGCTCGGTCAACGGTCAGAAGGGTTTAAAAGTCTTGTTTTGATTAAGTTGAAGTGTCTAGAAGAAACTTTATGGAGTGTAGGGACCGGGATGACAAACCGGAACAAGTACAAGTGTCTCCCAGGCTATTCTGCCTTTATTTATATGAAGGAACAATAAAATTTAATTAATAAGAGAAATTTATGTTTAATAATACAACAATCATCTAAATGCCGAAAAATATTATTACATTAGCGTAAAACATGGTATTTAAATAAAAGAACATCATCAACACTTACACAAATGATCAATTTTGTCATGTTAGTTAGATAATTATGTATTATAGTTTAAAAGTATTTAATGTGATGGTATCTAAACGAACACTTTTTTGTGGACAATTTTTTGTGTGTATATTTCCTTCTAATACTTTGGTTGCCCTTCCTTAACCAGAACTCTTGTTGTCGATCTTGATATCCCTCTTGAAAATGCAGCATACAATTGTTCGTGTGAGAAAACATATTGCGGTAAATGTAGTCCAATATTTAGGATGTTTGTCCTTGTGCTTTATTTATTATATTTGCAAAACATAAACATACTAAAAATTATTTTTACGCAAATTTAAAAGGATATCCTTAGTTTCGAAAGACGAAAGTTGAATTTAGAGATAAGAATATACTTAGAAGCACATTGACCAGTATCATAACTTTTGCATGTATGACGTTATTGTCAAAACTTCTATATTCCATATGTGTGCTATTACATAAGCTATTCGGCATATCTAAATTTTTCAGTAGCATGATGGGCATATTTTTCGTCAAAATTAACCTATATACAACGGAAGATTAATTTTAACTTAATCTATTATATATACGGTGACACTAATATACGTAAGAAATAATCAACAAACATGTATGGTAGAAGGCCATTTGGTATTAAAGTATTTAAGCATTCTTCTTGGTAGTAATTATTGGTGAATCAAAAGTTAAAAAATATTTTATTTTTACTATAAAATTTTGCAATCAACCTTTCATTTAGTTGATCAATATATTTATTTCTGCTAGCTAAGATATCTTTTTAATTCTATCGTGGGATTTGTACAAATTATGTTTTAATCTAATGATAGAAACATATCTCTTATTAAATGCACTACCATTACCATTGGGATTGATAACCAAGTGTTCAGGAAGAACCAAATCATCTTTTATTGGATGCTCTTCTTCGTTTCCGACACGAAGCAAGAAGACACTGAATACCGGATCTGTTCTTACTTTATATTTCTTGTCAGTTGGATCTTTTTCATTTGAGGCCAGAAGTATAACTTTGGCAAGCTAGCTTTTACAGTCTCTGCCTTTGTCGATTTTGGAACTACTGCAGTACTCGACAGAAATCACCTCCCAAACCATTAATTTTCACCAAACGGTTCATTAATATCTCATATATCTCTAGAACTCCGGGCAATTGTTTCGATCGTTTGACACTTAGCCATAAGTTCTTCATCCCATATTATCAATTTTACTTTCCTTATAAATTTAGCATCATTGCTCTGCTTTGATATATTTGTGATGGTTATTTAATTTATTTGAAGAGGCATATCAAATCTATAGTGGGTGGCCTCACAATAAAATTGTTGTTGGTACACCATTTGCTATTATTGCTACCATTATCATGCCTCTTGATATGATATTTGCAAGTAATGCATGACATAGAAATATTATTTTGATTCCGTCGGAGGCATCTACAAAGAATAATCTCGCTATATCAGAGTCGACTCTTTATAATATTGTCTTGAAAGCTTGTTCTCGTTTAGGAATTAGTTTTGATTGTACTTCCTCAGACACTTGTATAGCATTTTTATTCTTAGTAATATACTTTTACTTTGTGTTCTAATTTTTTAAATCTTTGCCGCTCTTTTTATGGAATAAATTTGTGTATCCCAAGATTTTTTTAAAACTTGAATAAGAATTTTACTCATATGATGAACTTAAAAAGTAATTGAATTGGATTCCTTGCTAAATAATTAATTAAAAGATCTAATTATTTGATTTAACATAAAAAATAATTTATTCTATGTTTATTCAGATCTTAATATTAGTTCATCTCTTGTTTTGAATACTTAATCTTAATTATAATTTTATCCATCATAAATTTTATTTTGAAAAATAAAAGTGATCTAATTATTTGATTTTAACATACAAAAAAATTTATTCTATGTTGATTCGGATCTTAATATTAGTTCATCTCTTGTTTTGAATACTTAATCTTAATTATAATTTTATCCATCATAAATTTCANACGACGAAGTTGACTATGAAGTAATAGAATTCGTCAGTTTGTAGTTTTTATGATTCGAGTTTAGCGTTTCGTTGGGTGTAGTTTTAGACGTTAGGAGTGTGTACCGGATATAGTTGGAGGTCCGTGTAGACTAGGCTTGAATTAGCGAAAGTTGGAAGTTTAGAAGTTCTTAGGCTTGAATCCGAGGTTGATTTGGTATTTTAGTGTTGTTTTGGGTGTTCCGGAAGTTCAACTAAGTTTGGATAGTGACATATGACTTGTTGGAATTATGGTTGAGGTCTCGAGGACCTCGGGTGAGTTTTGAATAGGTTTGGATTGTGTTGCGCTCGTTTTTCTTATGTTTCGACGCCGTTTCTTCAAGCATAAATGATATCATATTGAACAAATGAGCTCCGATTTCTTTTTTGATTGAAGCATTAGATCCGTATCGTAATTACGGACCCGTAGAAAAAAGAATCGTCGAATTTGGACATCGTATGAGGATTTTATGGTCATTTTACTAAGAATTAGGTTTCATTTTTCATATTAATTACGAAATTGCCACTGACAGCGTAATTAAAAATCTGCACTATTTGCAAATATTAAAACCTACATATCTCCTTCATTATAAGGTCAAATTGAGTGATTCAAAAGCCTAACTTGACTAGAATTTCACAAGGAATCCATTGGAGGCATAAAATACGAGTTTCAGTATCATTTGGAATGAGAAACGAGGCAGAATAGCTGGCAGAAAAATATACAAAACAAGGGTTTGTTCATTCGGTCATATTTTGAGTTGGGGAGCTCGAATTTGGGCGATTTTTGAGGCGATTTTCATCATATGGATTGGAGTAAGTGCTCTCTACT